TTTTGTTTAAACAGCGTTTCAGTGACAGTATTTTAAGTTTAAATAAACCACACGCTGAAATACAGGCTATAAAATACTGGAATATATGTTATATTGATTTAAAAAAAAAAAAAAAAAAGTGATCTTTTACAAGATTGAATTTTCCTTCTGGGATAAATAAAGTATTTTTCATTTCATTAATTTTCATTTCATTTCATTTCATATGAATCAGGCTGTACCATTATCATCCAGGAAGAGGTGGTGTCTATACCAAGAGCTACTATTAATATATTGACCTTATGTACAACTATTTCCACATTTCTCCCAAAGGTGATATGAACACTCACTCCCCACTCTATCCATTCATGCTTAAAATACACAAACAACAAACCAAACAGAACTTCTCATTTCCAATCCCACCCTTTCCTCAGTCCACTTGGTTTGCTCCAACCAGGCTGACTGAATCCACCAGCTCCTTGTTAACACCATCATGATGGAGCCTCTGTCAGAAAGAGATCAGAGACAAGAAAACAACTCATGATAATAAATTCAAATAATGTGTTTGGAAAATAAAAATAAATAAATAAATAAATAGGATCCATGTTTAACAGTAAACACACTGAACTCAATTAGTATCTGAGTGTTTGTGTCAGAACATGGAAGCTGTTCAGTGAGTTTAGTTTTTGTTTAAACAGCGTTTCAGTGACAGTATTTTAAGTTTAAATAAATCTACCACACGCTGAAATACAGGCTGTAAAATACTGGAATATATGTCTACAATCTGTAGTTTTTTCTGTCTGTTCAGAAAAGAGGTTCAAAGCTGGACAGACAAAGGGAAACAAAGATTCCAGTAAACAAAACAGGAACAAAAAGACTGTTTGAAATGATTACTGTACAGCATTTTACAGATCTGAATCATTGTAATGTGTATTTGAAGCTTTGCTCTTGTTGCTGGATTTGTCAGCTGGTTGGAGATCAGCTGCAGTGCTGAAGAGTTCATTAAACTCACCGTCAGGCTGCAGAGCTTCTTCCTCCAGGTCTTCTTCTCTTGTTCTAAAAATTCTGTACATTTCATTCTGTAGCATTGACTTTCATTTGTGTCCCGGTGGTTCAAGTTGTGGCTCCTGGTCTCATTTTCTCCTCCTCCTCCGTCCACCTCACTGTCAAAGAAAGAAACAGAGAAA